GAGAGGTCTGCTGTGCCGTGTAGGTCAGCTCCCTTGTTGGAGATTGAACTTGTGCTGCAGTGGCTGTGGATAGCTTCATAGTGCTGAGATTCAACCCCTTGAACCAACAGGGAGGCCCATCAGGTGTCCACACCTTCTTCTAGGGGAGGTAAGAATTAATAAAGGGGTTAGGGATGAACTTTATTATTATTATTATTTATTTATGTATTCATACATAACTAGGGTACATGCCAGAGATGCAGAGGGTGAGAGGCTTCACCAGAGACAGAGTGGGGAGCAGAACAGGCAGATCGACAAAGTACACTGCTGAGGGGAACAGCAGGCGGGTCAGGAGAGGTCTGCCACACCATGTGGTCACCTCCGGGGCAGGCGGGGATCGAACTCATGTGGAAGTGGCTTAAGCTTCTTAGTGCAGTGCTTTAACCCACTGCACCACCAGGGAGGGCCCGGGATGAACTTTTAAGGCAAGAAAGAACATGAATTTTGTTTTAACACATGGAGGCAATATATAAAATTCATCACAGCTCCAAAGTGGCTGGGATTGTAAACTGCAACTTTAAATCTTTGAGTAGCATAAGTATCAGGCATAAGGGTTGGCAAACATGCCTTGTTGAGAGACCACATAGGGGTCTGGTGCCAATATGCTGGAAGACACTTAAGGAAATTGACATGAGTAGGTAGGTCAGCAGATAAAAGACAACCCAGAACAGGGGCCCTATACCAGCTTGGGTGTGACTCTCCCATTTATTTTTGTAGTGTGTTATTAAAGCCTTCTACAAACCACTGTGACAATTTTTAAGTTAAAGCTGACCTCAGACATAGTTTTTCTTTGCGTTTTAATTAGTCTACTTAATTACTCTTTTCCTGTCCTTGGTTGATATCCTTTGGGTAGTAGAGATTAGGCAGGGACAATATTAAAGACTGAACTGTCAAAAAAAAAAAAAAAAAGACTGAACTGTCATCAGCAGTGACAATTTCATTGTATGACTTGTGCTGTTATTCATTTTTCCCAGTTTGATCAATACAGACATTGGCCAGACTTCTAAGTCACAAAACAGTCACGTTTTTGAAACGTAGTGAGTGGCTGCATTCCAATTTTTTATTCATTTAGAAAACCCTCCCTGGGATGTTTGCATAATCAGATGTAAGATCACAAATGTTTCTTCTGCCTCATATCTGCATATGAGCAAAATGAGTTTGTTCCCAAACAGCTTCTGGAAAATGCCCAACACAAATGATTACTCAGTAAAAAGGAAAACAATTCCAGCCAGTCCTCCACCTTCCACGGAAGAATAACCACGAATAGTCTCAGCAGCATATACAGAGACCACAAGAGAACCATCTGGTGAAACCAACAAGAAGTACGATGCTGATAAAAAGGAAAATGGTTTGAGGGTAGCTTCCCTGCCAGGAAGGGGAGGGAGAGTCTTACCATTAAAAGCAATGATTTTTATTTTCCAGCCATTTTTTTTGTTTTTATATTGCATATTACCAGATGTTTTAAAACATCAATTTCATTTCTTTCAGTACTTGTAATTTGAAATGCTTGAAGAGTGATTAGGTTTGCTTATGCCCTATACCAACTCGGGCATGATTCCCCCATTTCTTTCTGTAGTGTGTTATTAAAGCCTTCTACAAACCACTGTGACAATTTTTAAGTTAATGCTGACCTCAAACATAGTTTTTCTTTGTGTTTTAATTAGATATATGGGTTCTGATTAAAAAGGACCAGGGAAGCGTACAGTTTCTTTTTCCTAAGTTGAAAAGACAAGTAAAAGATTAATTTTCCCCATATATTTCCCCCTTTGATCCTGAACGCAATAATTAGCAGCTTAATCAAGTAATTTGGAGTGATTAGAACAAAACTGAGTTAATGTGACTTGCAGTCATTTTTTATTTTATATTTTAAAGATTTATTTATTTATGCCCTATACCAACTTGGGTATGATACAGGCCAGAGGTGCAGGGGAGGTGAGATTTACCATAGTCAGGGTGGGGAGCAGAACAGGTAGATCCACTGAAATACACTCTGAGGGCAGCAGCGGGCAGACAGGAGAGGTTTGCTGCACCATGGGAGTCAGTTCTCTGGCGGGGGATAGAACTGCTGTAGTTGGTGATAGCTTCACAGTGCTGAGAATTAACCCCTTGTGGCCACCAGGGAGGGCCCTGCAGTCATTTTTGTAGCCTTTTCAGTGTGACAAGGAAGGAGCTGGCCATTGTAGAATCATATGTTGATTCACCTGAATCGTGGCTGCAGAGAGGAGACCCAATTGCTAGAAGGCAAATCCTCTAGGAGGCATCTGCTGGTTTTGGTCTTATTGGCTCCCACCAGAGACTCCTAGGCTCAGTGAACTGAAGTCTGTTTTGCTCTCCAGAAGAGCTGGTATGCTTAGCTTTGCTGGAGTGTTTCTTTTACTGTTTTGTCTCTAATTCTTGCCTATTTCATCCTCTACATGAAGATACATTAACTCTGCCATGTCATATTAAGCATGGCCATATTGTCTTTGGTCTTGAGCTATCCATGGATTTGGGGGAAGTCCAAAGTTCCAAGACCTGTTTTCTTTTGGAGAGGGCAGTAAACAAACACAATTTGAGTGCCCTCTCTCTGCTAAGCAGCTTACTGGGACCCCTCACCGTGAGTGATTTGTCAGGCAGCTATGGAAACTGAGGTGCAGGAAGATTATATAATATTCCTAAGGCTGCAGAGCTGATAAGGGAATCAGGATTGAAATGAGGTCTCTTTACTCCATGTCCAGTGTTCTGTTTACACGATTCTAAAATGAAGCTGTCACCGACTGAGAACTTCCTGCATTAGTTGTCTGAATGAATTCTGCATTGGCAAAGTTCCTGGGAGTACATGGATGTGTGTGCTCACGTTTTCTTTCACCTCACTGACTGACTCTGTTTAGGAGGTTTGTTGTGTGATGTACCAGTGATTGCAAGATCTAGGAGGCTGAGATTTGATAACATCAACAGACTTGATGTTAGGATTGAGAAATTATTTTGCAATTCTTGAACATTTTCTATATGTAATAGGATGGAGCAGGGGTCTTTGTATAGCCCATGGTCTCTGCATTTGAAGAGTTAAGTTTAGATGAGATGAAGGCTATTTGTATCTTTGAGACACATCTCTGCTATTGTTACTTCATCTTCCTTGACACCCTCCTTCTCGCTCTCTCAGCATCTACTCTTTGAGATAAAATGAAAAAGCAGATTAAAGAGATTATTAGGAGAAAAGGAATAACGGCTGTCCACAAATAAACAGTATAACTGTAAATGTGACTGTTAGGCTCATAAATTCACAGCATGTGGCAAGATCAGTCCCAGCCACCACTTGTCATTCAATCTGACACCTGCGTCTCGATGGAAATCATCTCAGAACAGATTGGATGCTTTAATTAAAAAACAAAAAAACAAAAACGTTGTGTATAAATATGTCCGGTCAAATTGCCCATCTTGGCACACTTGGAGCTTCTGTAACTATTCAAATATGCTTGAAACAATTATCTTTACATCTTTTTTTATGCATACAGAACTGGGGTACAGGCCAGAGGTGCAGGGGTGATAAGAGGATTCACCAGAGACAGAGTGGGGAGCAGAACAAGCAGATCATCAAGTACACTGCTGAGGGGAGCAGCAGGCGGGTCAGGAGAGGTCTGCCTCACCATTTAAATTAATAGGAAATAAAATCAGAAAGAGCACATTGTCATTATTAAAGCTCCAAAGATCAATATGATCCTGGTTTCTTTCTTTCCTATTTTTTATAAGAGAAGGGAAAACCATCTGGAGAAGTGTGTATTCTAGACTGAATCCTCCTTCAACTTTTCCTTTGCCAATGCCTAGTACAAAAGAATCTTTTTTTTTTTTTAAGATTTATTTATTTATTCATACAGAACTGGGGTACAGGCCAGAGATGCGGAGGGTGAGAGGCTTCACCAGAGACAGAGTGGGGAGCAGAACAGGCAGATCAATGAAGTACACTGCTGAGGGGAGCAGCGGGCGGGCCAGGAGAGGTCTGCTGTGCCATGTGGTCACCTCCGGGCGCCACCAGCGAGGGCCAAGTACAAAAGAATCTTAATCAGAACTTTAAGAAATACCCATCATGTCACATTGGTCTTGAGTTCTTTCGATGACTGATAAAGGCCGCACAGAAAATTCTACTGTAACCAATAGATTGTTTTGCTACCAAGTGAAATGATAAAGCAAAGAAGGTATTGAGATCTTAAGAGCAGCATTATTAACTGTCCATTAGTATGTCCTAATAGATTGTGGGACCAGTGCACTCTGTTAAATGAATTGTAATCAATTTCTCCTTCATGTTCCACAGTAACCTTGGAGGAAGTTGTTATATCACATAGATGACAAAACTAGATGTGAGTAATTTGCCCAAGTTCACACAGTTAGGATTCAAATCCTAACTCATGTCCCCTTTTCACATGTGTCCTCATCTTGAGTAGACTGAAAGTTAGATCAGAGAACTATTCTTGGCAGAACTCTAAGAGGTGGGTTCTTTAAAGCTGTAGAACAGTCAGCTCTACTGAAATACACCACTGAGGGGAGCAGTGGGAGAGATGGGACAGGTCTGCTGTGCTATGTGGGTCAGTTCCCTGGCTGGGGGTCGAACTTGTGCTGCAGTGGCTGCTGATAGCTTCAGAGAGCTGAGACCTAACCCGTTGGGCCACCAGGGAGCACTTCGAGTTGTGTTCTTAAGGTCAACTCTCACCTGAAGAGGTCTCCTGAGTTATGAGTCAGCCTGGAGGTTCCTTGGAAGCCTAGAGAAACCATGTCAGCCTAATACCAAGTCTGTTCTTCACTCCTGGCCTCTCATAGAGGATTAGGCCCAAACTGTAATGGGACTGCCATTTCAAGTTACTTCTTAAAAATCACACTTAAAAACTGTAATAGTCAGTAAACTTTGGTCATTTTGGTGAAGGTCAGAGGATTCTTTGAACCCATTTTGACTAATATCCTGTTGTCATTTTCCTATTGCAGCACATCGAGGCCTATGTGACCATTCTCTAAAATATTTAAGCTCGAGAATCTCAGAGAGGAAGCTGCAGGGCTCATGGCTTCCCGCTGGCCGAGGAAATCTGGAGAAACCATTTCTGGGGTCACGCGGCTCCATCATGCCTGTGTTCAGCCCTCAGAACGGCCTTCACCCCGTTCATTCAGAGAACAGCCCGCTGAAGCCCAGGGTTGTGACCGTGGTGAAGCTGGGTGGACACCCCCTCCGGAAGATCACCCTGCTCCTCAACAGGAGGTCGGTACAGACCTTTGAGCAGTTACTAGCGGATGTCTCAGAGGCCTTGGGCTTTCCAAGGTGGAAGAACGATCGTGTGAGGAAGCTGTTTAACCTCAAGGGTAGGGAAATCAGGAGTGTCTCTGATTTCTTCAGGGAAGGGGATGCTTTCATAGCCATGGGCAAAGAACCACTGACACTGAAGAACATTCAGGTGGCTGTCGAAGAACTGTACCCCAACAAAGCCCGAGCACTGACACTGACCCAACACAGCCGGGTCCCTTCTCCGAGGCTGAGAAGCAGGCTTTATAGCAAAGCTCTGAAAGGGGGTCACCACTGTGGAGACACTGAGATTGGCAAGAGCTGCAGTGAGGCTGTGGGTGCCAAGGCAGCCACCAGGCATCAGGGCAAGACGCACATGGAGCCAGCGCTGGGGGAAAGGACAAGAACCCAGAAATGGGTGAGGGGCAAATGGGAACCTGAGCCCAGCAGCAAGCTACCCAGGGAAGCCACTCAGGAGGAGATGCATGCAGGTGGAGAGAAGCACCTGGGTGTGGAGATTGAAAAGACCTCAGGTGAAATTATCAGGTGTGAGAAATGCAAGAGAGAACTGGAGCTCCAGCAGAGGGAGAGGCTGTCCCTGGGGACCAGTGAGCTGGACATGGGGAAGTGCCAGAGGTATGATGTGGAGAAACTGGTGAGGACCAAGAGCTGCAGGAGGTCTGCAGAGGCAAACCCCCCAGGTGGGGAGGAAGGGTGGAAGGGCGACATTCACAGAACCGGCCCCAGGAACCCCACACAGGAGCTGAGGAAACCCAGCAAGAACATGGACAAGAAAGAGGACAGAGGCCAGGAAGGCCAGGAAAGTCATCCACAAGCAGCGGCCAAGTCGAAGAAGGATCTTGTGGAAGTTCAGCCCGCCAGTGAGGAGGGGCCGAGGGAAGTGAAGAAAGGCAGGAACAAGCATGGCGGCTGGCTCCTGAGGGAGCAGCAGGCGGATGCGGAGAAGCTCCCGGTGCCCGGAGGGGAAGAACAGGAGGCAGAGAAGGAGCTAAAGCCATACGCGTCAGGAGGAAAAAAGATGGTTCCAAGAGACGACCAGGCTGCAAGGGTAGAAAAGGATTTCAAGCTGAAGCCTGAAGAGAGCAAGACAGGGCGGCCCAGTGGCCGGAAGCAGCGGCCTGCCGGCATCATCTCAGCGGACGTGGAGCAGCATTATGATACAGGCAGGGTTATCGGGGACGGGAACTTCGCGGTGGTGAAGGAGTGCAGGCACCGGGAGACCGGGCAGGCCTACGCCATGAAGATCATTGACAAGTCCAAACTCAAGGGCAAGGAGGACATTGTGGACAGCGAGATCTTAATTATTCAGAGCCTCTCTCATCCCAATATTGTGAAATTGCATGAAGTCTACGAGACAGAAACGGAAATCTACCTGATCATGGAGTACGTGCAAGGCGGGGACCTTTTTGACGCCATCATAGAAAGTGTGAAGTTCCCGGAGCGCGACGCCGCCCTCATGCTGATGGATTTGTGCAAAGCGTTGGTCCACATACATGACAAGAGCATCGTCCACCGGGACCTCAAGCCAGAAAACCTGCTGGTAAGCGCTGGTCCTGCTGCAGTGGGTGTTTAAATTGCTCACACTCTACTGGAGAGTATCATTTCTGTGGTAGCGTTACCTAGTATTTCAAGTTGCTGAGGTGAATTGCTTTTGATCTGCATGATCAAGAAAGAAACCTTCCCATGTAAATAACGCAGAAAATGTCCCCTCATCCCAGGGGTGAAAATACTTACACGGTAACAATGACCAGGTGATCCTCTTCATTTATTGGCGAGTGTGCAGCCTCTGGCTCAGGCACGGGGGATGTCTCATGGTACCAGCTTCCCCTGTGGGTTTTGTGTCCATCCTTCTATGGAAACCCCTCCTTGGTCTTTTTAGCGGTAACATTTTACCAATGGTATCCAAAAGTTTCAGCCCTTCAGGGACTGTTGTGTGGAGTGGGTAGAGATCGACTTGGAGCCAGCTAACCTGAGTTTGAACTTTAGCTAGGTGACTTGCTTAGGATAAGTCCTTTACCTCTCTAGGCTCCTTTGCCTCACCCCAGAAAGGAACGTGGTGATATTCCCTTCTTTGGAAGGCTGAATGGACTGAGCAGAGGAAAGAGAAAAGCAGGCTCTAATGGCTGGGAGCTGCCTTATTCCTTTGAATATCAACATTTTTTTTTAAAGATTTATTTATGCATACAGAACTGGGGTGCAGGCCAGAGGTACAGGGGTGGGGCAGTGAGAGGATTCACCAGAGACAGAGTGGGGAGCAGAACTGGCAGATCTTCGAAGTACATTGCTGAGGGGAGCAGCGGGCGGGTCAGGAGAGGTCTGCCGCGCCATGTAGGTCACCGCCCTGGCCGGTGATTGAACTCACTGCTGTGGCTGTGGTAGCTTCATAGTGCTGTGCTTTAACCCATTGCGCCACCAGGGAGGGCCCTGAATCTCAACATTTTTATAGAAGATAGCACCAGCTAATGTGACCAATCCATGCCAGTTACTGTTACTATTACAGTAGAAACAGTTCTGCCTTAAGGTTGACGGAGGGGTGAGCCCTCAAAGCCAAGTTGCTGCAGAAAGGGGTGTGATTGCAACAGTGATTTTGCTGAACCACAGTTTTGGGGCAGGGGTTTAGCCTGTTTCCTCTAATCTTCATGGCTGATACCTACCTGGAAACACCATTCAGTGCACTCAACTGTGTGTACACTGCTCCCACAGGCTCAGTGAAACAGAGTGAATCAAGCTAATTATCTGGTGAAATAAGGTCTGTATTGGGCACTGAGTGAACATTGCTGTGACCCAAATTCTTAAGATTGCAGAGATAGCCGGACTGGGTACCCGAATGGTTTGAATTACCTGGCAGGAGCTCACCCTTTGAAAATGTCACTTCTGCATTAGCTGTGAGTCCTTAGACTTTTTAATTATCTCTTCCTTTTGGCTCCGAGCCCAAGTGTCCTCTGAGTGTGATGCGCTCTGCCTGCCAAGCGCATTTTGGAGTGTGCCGAGTCTGATGTTTGCCCTGGGTTGTCTGAGCAGGAGCGATCTGACCGACCGGAGGCCACCAGGTGCCCTAGCTGACCATCTCAGCCTTGCACCTCATTAGGCCTCATGATAGCTAGTGTGTGGAATGAGGTCATTCACCCTACAGGATCGGTTCTTTTTGGGGACAGTCAGCTGAGCTTGCATTTTCTCAACAAGGTCCTGGAACCAGTCTGTCAAGCTGGCCCATCTCTTGGGCAACAGAGGTGCTCACTTATGTTGGGACTAACTTGTCTGCTTTTTTTGAAGTGGAGAGTCAGCACCGGTTTAGATTGCGTGAAGTTGGCTTGAGGGAGTAGAAAAATAACATGGAGGAAGTTCAGAATGGACAAGCCTTTGAGAAGCTGACAGCTCTTTATAGAATTCAATGTTAGTAACGTGTTTGTAGAACCTTTAAGGGCAATTGTGTTTGTATGTGTATATTGTATGTGGAGAGATAGTGGGAGGTAAAACTTCAGAGTAGCTACCATTTTTCTTTCTAAATACATGGGTTATTAGAGGTGGACATTGTCACTGATATTTAGAAGCTTTCCCCTGATTTCAAATATGAAAGTGTTTTGTGGTGGTATGGCTCCTTCAGAAACTGAAAAACGGTATATATTCGAACCATCTCTTGTGGAATAGGTAGTATCTTTTCTCCCTTCTGGATAATTTGTCAACTTACATTTTCAAAAGTGAGCCAGTCTATCATACTTGTAAACTGTACTTGCCCATCAGAGGGAGTAAAGTTCCTATTTTATTACCTCAGAAGTCTAAATACTATCTCACATCAGCCCTTTTTGGCTTTTCAGACAGAGTTCTGGAATAGGGTTGGTTTTGACAGTGGGATTGTTGTTTGGGCTTAGAAAGCTGTTATTTTAAACTGGCTGATATAGTAGCTACATTTCAACCTGGTTAGTTTTCTGGATTTAATATTAAGTCTTTTTGAGATTTAATAATATTAAGTGTTAAATCTTACTGTGGTGACCTCTGTTTATCACTTCTTCAGATTCTTCAGTTGCTTTTAACTTACAGTTCTACACTTGGGTTGAACTTTGTATTATCAAGATAATTGTTTTTTAATTGTTCTTTGCTTTAATGGATGGCTGTTGTCTGTATTAAGTCCTATCTTTGCTAAGCTTAGAAAAGTGATTCTGTTAGGATAACTTGATTACATGGCTGACTGTAACTGCTTTTAGACTTTCTGAAAGTGTTAAGAACTCTTAATGAATATACCAAACCTACCACATTGTTTATTCAACAGAAATATTTATATCTGATAATTGAGCCCTAGAGTAAAACTTTAGGCCTATTTTACTAAGTTTTTCAATTTCTACTGATTGCATTTTCTGGTAAGATGACAGTTTTCCTCTTCCCTTTGGGTTATTTAGGCTCCTGAGATCTTACAAAAGAAGTTTTAATTATGAAAATTTCCAGCTTGCAGAAATACCAGTGTTAATTGCTTCTTCTGCCAGTAAGCGCTCCTTTGGCTATTGATGTGCTCTGTGGTGTCCTCTGAATCCTGGGAGGAGGGGAGGAGGTAACCAGGAACCAGAGCAGTGGTGATGAGCAGATCAGTCCACCCCAGAAGTGGGCAGGCACGGTTATTTATGACCTTTCCATACAAGCGAGAAGCTGAGTGGGTGGGGGGAGGGGAAGAGATTGAAGAGATGTCAGACACAGCAGAGTCACCTGAAAAAAAATCTCTCCCAGAATAAGGGGAAGAGAATGTTCCCACTGAGATGGAACTGCTGCACCTTGCCTGACATGTGAAGTGCTTCCCCCCAAATCCCTCTATTCACCCCATCCAGGAGCACCAGCAAATAGAGTGCTGGGAGCGGAGACTGTTCCAGTTAAGGAGAAATGGTGATGGTGGCGGAAGTTGTGGGGGCAGGTCACAGTTTGGTTAAGAACAAAAACTGCCCCTTTTTCTTCCTAGCTTTTCAAAAGGAACATTATTCTACATATTTCAGTCCTGAATGTGAGTAGGACAGAGCAGTGACTAGTGTTCCCAAGGGTGGCAAGGAAAATCTAAAAAGGTAGAAATGGTCACATACATCATTGGTCTAATCTCCCTTTAAAATGAACAGCTGTCTCCCCTGTCATCGAATTCCCTAGGCTCTTTTCCACTTTGCTAAACAAGGGCTCCATGATCTTAGTCAGTGGTCCTCTAACATTTAATTCTCCCTGATCAGCAGGGCCGACATAGTTCTAATTCCTATTTCCTTTCTCTGTGGCTTCTAAGAGGTCTCCATGCCCAGTCATTATGGGCCAAGCATTTGTGCTGTTTATACACCAACCCGAATAATTGAAATGTCTGCAATAAATTATCAACAACAAAAGCAACTTTCATGCATGATGTTTCATGCTTTCATACATGATGCATAGCTTCTAAACTTGCAAACGTCATGTGCTCAGGGAGTCCTGAAGTTCAGGTTGTTTAGTCAAAAGCTGTTACTATCTGTGCTCCAGTGTGTCATCAGCCTTTCTGAGTGTCTTCTTGTGAGCCATTCAGTCATGTGAGGATCCAAAATTAAGTTTCTTAAAACCCTTTATTTTTGAAGTGCTCTTAATCTGAGGAAGCAACTCAGTAAATCTCTTCAACGTGTTTTCAAGTTATCTAATTGAAATAACACAAACCCTCCACTTCTGGCTCAGTTTCTTTCAAACATGCCACATGCTAGGGCTTATATAAGGTATGGAAAGAAAGGAAGAAAAGAGAGGGGGAGATTTAGAGACGAGATATGGACTTGGTCTATGTAGGTTTGTTATCTTTCCCAGGAGGGAGTGAGAAGCAGGTGCATAAAGACACCCACTAAGTACTGCCAGTGTCTGCAGTCCAGGGAGCAGGATGAGTTTTAAGAGCTGGGAAAAGCACCGAAGGGCTGTATGTGTGGAGTCAATACCTTTCTGGCTGTCCTCATTGCAGGTCAGCCACCTTCCAGCTGCGTCAGGATTACCTGAATAGACAAGGTTTAAAGCAGCCCTTCTCAAAAGTTCATGGGCACGGGGACCAGCTGGAATCTTGATAAATGCCGATGTTGATTTAGTAGGTGGAGGGAGGGCCCTGGGAGGCTACAGTTCCTCCCAGCCGGCAGGTGACTAGATCAGCAGAGCTAACTTTAAAGGTGTCTAATTACCTTACTGACCTAGAAACCTGGAGACAGGCGAGTCCAGGCCTGGTTAATAGAGTAGAATAAAGATGCCAAGGCAGCTTTGGCTGTTTCTCTCGTGGCCCTCAAATGTCTAGCACACTCATATTTTACAAAGTAGCAAGAAAGGGGTCAGTTGCTCTTTTAAAGCTGGTGGAAAACCATGCTCAGGAGCTCCCCAGCATATTACTTCTTCTCGCTTGTTGGCCAAAATGGGTCATGTGGGCTCCATGGGGGTAGAGGGATGGTTGTGGTGATGAGGCAGCCTAATCCCTGTTGCAGCTGAGCTAGGCTTTTCCGGACGCATTCTTGTTTATGGCTTGGGCCTAGCAGTTTTTGGAAATACCTTGCTGGTTATCGCCATTGTCTCTTATGAATAAGTGGTTCTTTCAGTCTACACCTGGTCACCAGGGCCTTTTCCTGTTGTTCTCCACCAGGCCTCTCAGATGGGCACGGCTGGCATTTGGGCAGGGTGGCTTTTTGCTAGGAGAGGTGTCCTGGGGTGCTTAGCGGTGTCCTGGCTTCTATTCTGGAGCACACCCCCAAAGTGATAACCAAAATAATGAAAACTTCACTAGGCATTGCCACAGACCCTTAAGGTGGTAACAAAGTTGTGTAGAGATCACAACTTCGATGTGACATTGACATTTTTGCTCAATTAGAACCCACATCCCATCAGAACATCCACTAACTTTATTGTCATGAAATTTTGAGATTTTTGAAATTGAACACTATTGCTGTATAATATAGTTATGTATTATATATTATATATGTATTAAGCTGTATAATTAGAAATGTTAAGGTTGAGAGTGTGTTATTTTGATACATTTGTATCAATGTAAAACAATGGCCTTTGTAGCCATATTTACCATGTTACATAGTTTCAGTATAATATTGTTGCTATACTCCTTATCCCATATAGCCGATCACTATGGCTTAGTTACTATTTGTTGTACATTTATTCTCCAACACCATGAGTCTTATTGCTCCACCTGCCACTCATTTCAAAAATGATTTATTACTTAATTTATTTATGCATACAAGAACTGGGGTGTAGGCCAGAGGTGCAGAGGGTGAGAGGATTCACCAGAGACAGTGTGGGGACGTTCTGTTGAGGGGAGCAGTGGGCGAGACAGGAGAAGTCTGCTGTGCCATATGGGTCAGCTCCCTGGCTGGATCAAACTCCTGCTGCAGTTGCTGGTGATAGCTTGATAGTGCTGAGACTTGAAGTCCTGTGCTACCAGGGAGGCCCTGTTTTTTTGTTTTTATTTTTTAATGAGTTTTTATATTTGTGGCACATGGTGTGTATCTTATATTTGTTGAATGAATATGAGATGTCAATTAAGATGAAAAACCCTGGCCCAGTATGGACACATCTAAGCATATGCCCATCAGCAACAGGTTGCAGGGAGGACTTTATTGTTATCCCTGCTAATTGTTCCAGTTATTCTTTGGTATCACGGTTTCCTTTGAAATGTAATTGAGTTTAGGTGTTGGCATTTTGAACATGAATTGGCTTCTAAGATTATTTTAGTCCTCAAAACCAACTGAAAATGGAACCTTGGAGGAAAAGGTCAGAAGAAACACTAAAGCCCAAGTAAGAAGCTGTCAAAGAGGAAAGAACTTTAGACACCTGTTCATTTTCCTACTGCTGCCTCTTGATGTTTTAGCTGTACTCTGCTGCCATCTACTGTTCAGATTTAAGATTGCTAGGTCACTTTTTAGAAAAAGATTTACTTATGCATACAAGAGTTAGGGTGCACAAGAGCTGGGGTACATGCCAGAGGTACGTGAGGGTGAGAGGATTCACCAGCGACAGAGTGGGGAGTAGAACAGGCAGACTGACCAAAAGACCCTGCTGAGGGGAGCATCGGACAGGATAGGAGAGGTCCGCTGTGCCATGTAGGCCAACTTCCTGGCCAGGGATGGAACTTGTGCTGTAGTAGCTGCTGATAGCTTCATAATGCTGAGACTCAAACCTTTGCACCACCAGGGAGGCCCCTCACTTTTAAATTAATGTACTATTGCAGGCAAGGAGGGGGCTGTTAATTGCCCAGGAGAATACAGGTTCCTTTTGAAGGATGTTATCTTAGATGTTAGCTAGGATAATATAGATGCTTTGATGTCACTGGAAAATAGGGTGATGGATCCAAATAGACCAGCAGTGTTATGGACAAGTTCATTTCTCATGTCCTTGCAAGGAAAGGGCGACTGAACACAGAGTCAGGGAAGGAGGGTAGCCCAGGCCAGTGACTTTAGGTAACCAGAGATGGAGGACTGGGCTGTGGCTGAGGCAAGGTCCGATGGTGCTATGGGTAGCCCTCACCCCAACCATGCCCCTCTGCACTCTTCTCCCCCCTGGGCCCCCAAGATATAGGTCGGCATCTGGACATGACATAAATGCCTTTCTAGCATAAAAGCCTCAGTGTGTACATTCTAACCTGTACTACCTCAGTGGAACCAGGTTTGGGAATTGGGAGGGAAGTTCTGTGAGGAAGGGAATATTTGTTGCTTCATATCTGAATACATATTTTATTTTGGTGGATTAAATCAGCCAAATACTTTTAATGCTTATAAGAGCTGGGAATACTTACAAATATCTGTGAGGGACATATTTTCTCAGCAGTTACCCAGCAAATGTGGTGAGTGCACTATTTATTTGGTCCTTCCCTTCCAAACTAGATTTTCCAGTCTAAGCTAATCCAACGGTTACTTCCACTGCCTCCCTCTGGGTTAGGCCTGCTTCCATACACACAACAAAGCAGAACCGGGCTTTCGTGTGGCTTCTGTGACTTTCCATTTTGCTGAAGTTTATCATGGAGGCCTTGACCTGTAGCCCCGCTATGACTCACACTCAGGAATTAAGACTCATTCTGCTCACAGAGAGGCCAGGACAGTAGTAGGAGCAGAAGTTAAGTTTGGAGAACTTGCTCTTGTCTGGAGAGGTCAAGATCTAGCATTTTCGGGTGTTACTGTGCCATGGCCCTGATGGCTCACAGTGAGAGCCTGTGCCTCACAGTCCTCCCACCAGCAAACACAGGCAGGGCTGTGGGTATCTGGGCTTCCCAGCAAGAGAGATGTGAGCGCGAGTCCTGCAGGTGATTTCTCCTGAAGCTTCAGGGCCCCAGTGAGCTTTCTGAGTGAAGGGGATATGCCAGGATTGCTCTGGAGCACTCAAACAACTGCTCAGTCGGTTTGAGCAAGTGGAGGGCAGGTGAGAGCAGGACGGGAATGGGACTTCGACAGCAGAGAGTGGGCCAGGGCTGTGCCTCAAGGGAGTCCTGGGTTTGGATGAGGAGATCCATAAAGGGGAGCAGGAAATGATAAGGATCTGCTTCCTGTGTCTCTCACTCTGCCTGAAGCCTGCCCTGCCCTTGCAAGTTGAACTGTCAAGGAGGGTCTAAAATACCGTGGTTGACCTGTGTCTTGCTTCCTGGGTGCTGAGCGTTGCCAGTAACACCTCACACCTATGAACTCATTTAATTCTGTCACAGCCCTGCAAGGCCTTTGACTCCTCCTACAGCTGTGGAAATGGAGACACACAGAGGGCCAGTGATTTGGAGTTTCAACCAGACAGTGGGGCTGACAGTCCTATGACAGTCCCTGGCCTGGAAGAAGGGGTGCCAGGCAGGATGTGACAGCTGGCGTGGGGTGGGTGGCCCCTGTCCCAGGAGGCTGCAGGAGGATGAGATGTCAAATCTCAGCGTCCCCTTAGGCCTCTGTTGAGAGACTTGCTGATGTGGGTGTTGTCAGTCTTCTCTGTGTGCATCCTAATGCCGAGGCTTCAGGATTTTGGTTTCTTACAGGTTCAACGAAATGAGGACAAATCTACCACCTTGAAACTGGCTGATTTTGGCCTTGCAAAGCACGTGGTGAGACCTATATTTACTGTGTGTGGAACTCCAACTTACGTAGCTCCAGAAATTCTCTCTGAGAAAGGTAAGTTGCACATGGCTCTGTGAACCACTCACTTTTATTTCAAACTGGTAACAAGCATCACAAAGTGGCAGCGGTCTGCAGACCAGACTGGGGATGACAGCGGTGCATTGCTGAGTTTAGAGGGTGGGCAGCAAAGCCTGCTGGTGCTTTGGGAGGCGGCTCTTTCCCTCCCAGCACTGAGGCCCTGAGACCGAGGACTGTCCCATACTCACCTCATCACCACTGAGCTGGCCTGGGGTCAGTTTTTATTTTTTTGAAGATTTGCTTATTTATGCATACAAGAGCTGGGGTGTAGGCCAGAGGTGCAGGAGTACGAGAGGACTCACTAGAGTCAGAGTGGGGAGCGGAATAGGCAGATGTATTGAAACACTGCTGAGGGGAGCAGCGGGAAGACAGGGGAGGTCTGCTGCACCATGTGGGTCACCTCCCTGGATGGGGATTGAACTCATGTATTGGTGGCTGCTGATAGCTTCACAGTGCTGAGACTTAACCCCCTTGCACCACCAGGGAGGCCCCTGAGCTCAGTTTTGCTGTGTCTTTGCCTCTGATGCACAGGTTACGGGTTGGAGGTGGATATGTGGGCCGCAGGTGTGATCCTCTATATCCTGCTGTGCGGCTTCCCCCCCTTCCGCAGCCCGGAAAGGGACCAGGATGAGCTCTTCAACATCATCCAGTTGGGCCATTTCGAGTTCCTGGCCCCTTACTGGGACAATATCTCTGACGGTGAGTGTCGGCGCCTCCCCTCACAGGAGCAAGGGGGGTGGAGGGCAGGAACCTCTCTTGCATTTTGATACCAGGCAGGTTTTCCGGTCAGAAGGGAAGAAGACACACAGAGGCACTGTCCACATGTGCTTCACTCTTTATTTCACAAAGGTTTATGCTGCGCTCCAAAAACCGTGACTTGCTTTGACAATCCATGACACAGTCACAAAATAAGTTTTCTTATGGCAATTAAGGAGCCTCAGATCATGTAATCCTCATTTGGAAAGATCAAAGCTGTCAAATGACAGAAGTGTTTGTTAGTTGAAGAGATCAGAGGTGCTACTCTTCACGTGAATCAGGGCCCGGGAGGGGCTGCTTGGAGTACAGGGGTGCTGGACGGTAAGGGGTGAAGGTCGCAGGGAGTTCAGAGGGGCGCCCAGAACCTGTGGCTCTCCTCTGGGACCCTTTCCAAAATGGAAGCTCCTCCCTTGTTTCTGCTGGTCTGTCTGTACCCCCATTGTGGAATCGGGAGCTGGATAAGTGCAGGTTTGGGATCTTTGGGCCTCTGGGTTACAAAGTAGATTAGGAGAGAGAGCATTGCCCCCCAGGTCCCCCAGTGCAGGTCAGCTAAGATTAGTTATTAAACTGCTCTTGTCCCCAGCCTCTGTCTCTTCACTTGGGGATGGGCGATGACTGAGGGCAAGGGAAAAATCCTGTCCCCTCAAAGGTAAGGACAGGGATGACTTGCTATAGGTAGCACGAACATATCAAAAGAATTGGAACTTTCAATATACTGCTGAGGGGAGCAGCAGGCGAGACAGGAGAGGTCTGCTGTGCCGTGTGTGTCAGCTTCCAGGCTGGGAATCAAGCTCATGTGGTCATGGCTGTGGGTAGCATGATAACACGGTGTCTTTAACCCCTGTACTGTCTGGGAAGCCCAGTATTTCAATTTTGGTATAAATTAATTAAAATTAATGCAGTGAACACTGTGTCCCTCAGTCACAGTAGCCATTTCAGTTACCCAGCAGCCCTCAGGGATGGTGCAGGCAGGGGAGGTCCTGTGCTCACCGGAAGTGCACTGGACGTCAATATGCATGGTGCTGTGGGTGTCTTTGCTCTTATCTCACATGCAGGGAGAAAAATTCAGAGCCACTTGCATTCATTTCACTGGCCCTCTCCTTTCACTTCAACAGCTGCCAAAGATCTGGTGAGCCGGTTGTTGGTGGTAGACCCCAAAAAGCGCTACACAGCCCACCAGGTTCTTCAGCACCCCTGGATTGAAACTGCTGGGAAGACCAACATGGTGAACATACAAAAGCAGGTGACCCCCAGCAGTGAGGGCCATGCCCGGAGCCAGCACAAGTGGGCTTTGGAGCAGGCATCATAGTGCCCCCTCGGGCAGCACTCAGCCCCATCCTGCTCGGCTCTGCAGCAGCCTCCGGTGGTCTAGACATCTCGGAGAAGACAGTGAACAGACTGCTCACATAGCCGGAGAAGCAGAAGAGACGTGCAGTAGATTTTAAAGCATCCTTAAAAATAAACTTGAGTCTTTGTGTTAAATGTTGTAATATATTTTGAGATTTGTATATTTGAAGCCTTTAATACTTTTTTTTTTTTTGGAGGGGAAGATTAGTTTTCAATGAGGAGTTTTCAGTACTTATGATGCTTTGCTTCCTCCTTGCTATCAAGTTCATAGTATTTTACATGGGTGGTGCTTAGCAGGGTTTAAACTCCCCCTGTGAGATTGAAAGGTGAATCGTGGTCTTTCTGTATTAATAAAATGTGTTCGGAATGACAAAGTCTGTATTCTGATGACTTCTCAATGCAGGTGATTACAGGCCAGGGCATTACAGGCCAGGCGCATTTCCCAAAACCACGACTAGTATATGGATACGGTGATGGATGTTTGATTAATTAGAAAGATCTATTTACTTCGGCTGTGCTGCTCTAATGTTTTAGTCTTCCTGGAAATGAGATTTGGTGCAATTTGAAGAGTGCAAAGAGGAAATCATTGTGTCGTTCTGCCCTTTCAATTCTCATTTTATACTGCTTTTCCCTGAGCCTGAGTCACTTCCCCATGAAGTTAGTCACTTAGGCTGAGACTGTGTTAACATTTGCAGGTCATGAGGGAGCTGTCTAGCTCATTCTGTATGCTAGAAATGCTGTAAGTGGATTATGCTCAGTCTTGAAGGAGCTTGGAGAGTTCAGGCAGATTCCTACCTGGAGGGCAGACACATGAGGGCACAGGATGAAATGCAATGTTTACTTCATTCCAGACATCTGTACTGAAATGTCGGTCTTTTCAGATGACTCTGGGAATATGCCTGAGCTGAAAGCAAAGTATAACCCTATTCACCAATTGACCTTGCTAGGTTCTTGTCACTGGGTTGGTGGGACACAGAATCAGTCCAAAAGTGTGAGTGTGTCTTGCCCCAGCTCTACCTTCTTAACAGATTTAGAGTCATCTGGGTGGAGGAGTGTGTCACTCAGGAGGAGCAGAGTTCAGTATTGATAACTGCCCCAATAGCTGTTGGAGAATAGAAAAAAAAACCGCACAAGAGATGTCTGAAGTAATTTACAGATATCAACTGCAAGAAAGAGGTTGGGATCTCGGAAGAGAAACATACAGAGATCATCCTTCAAGAAGAAGGGAACAAGCTTCTTGGGTGCTGCTAGCCGATGTCCTCAGCTGTCAACAGCCTCAAGAATTGCTCTTAGCTTAGAAGAGTCACCTGACCCAGCTGTTGGCTATGCTGAGTCTCTTTGCTCTCACTTGTACCCCCCCTTTAAAAAAGATGTACTTATTTTTGCATATAAGAACTGGGATCTAGGCTAGAGTTGTATATGTGTGTGTGTGTATGTGTGTGTGGGGGGAGGAGGGGGGCGGGTAAGAGGATTCACCAGAGACAGTGGGAAATACAACAGGCAGGTGAACTGAGATACACTGCTGAGGGGAGCAGCAGGTGAGACAGGTGAGGTCTGCTGCACCATGTGGGTCACCTCCCTGTCCGGGATCTAAGTTGGACTCCAGTGGCTGCGGCTCGCTTCATAGTGCTGTGTCTTAACCCCTTGCTCCACCAGAGAGGCCCCTCACACATGTCCTTCCTGGGGGCTGTTCACATCCAGTAATGGGTTAGGGTGGGTTACAAGACACCTGATGCCTTGTAGGGCATAGGGTTATCCAGTATCTCCTATGCCAGCTGCATAGGGTCATCCAGTATCTCCTTGTGGGACCAGATGAGCCTTCGCTTCAGTTACATCATAATTAACCCCTTCATTTGCCCTGTCAGTCATGGATGCAGGCAGGATTCTTATATAAGTGTCTAAGATGAAAAAAAAAAACTTGATTAAAACAACGCGGGAGAGATTTTATGTTTCTCGTGGGCCTGCTAGATTGGCTTTCCACTCAAGGTCTGCTTAAGTCATTCTTACTGCATCACAACCAAACAATTTTTTTTTTT